TTTTTTTTTTTCAGTCTCTTTTTTGTGTGTTCCAAACAATTTTGGCTCTTCGCATATTCGAGTAGATTGTAAATGTCGTCCTACGTTCACCAGTTGATTGATTTTCTTTTTAGGAAGACTGAAAAACTGGAAGAAAAGCAGGAACGGATAGCCGAAGATAATAAAATACCCACTCTGCTAAGTGACTTTGAAGATGATGAGAAATGTTTACCACCGGAAGTTGAGGAAGGAAATATTGAGTACAAGGTTAGGATATTTTTGACAAGCTTGTTTGACTTGCTTTGTAAAACAAAAGCAGTGCACTTAGATCGCGCACATGCGCATACAAGCATATATACACACACACATACACACACACACACACACACATGTTGTAACCTGTTCGATGTCGAACAGCAAAAATTTTTGGCTGGATAAAGGCACAGGACCCAGAAGTTTTATTAGAACTGGTCGTGGATGCGGCAGTTTTTTTTTTGCATGAAAAGCAAGCCTTCCAGAATAATTTTCTACCATAATCTAAGTAACCTTCTGCACCATCTGATAGGTTAAAAAATTTTATTGAGAAGATGAAAAATTTCTTTCTTATTATTCAGGTGAAACTGATCAATCCGTCATCGAGCCGCATGGAACAGCTGATATCGCAGATGAAGTGGCGCTTGCGAGAGGGATATGGCGAAGCGTTCTATGAGATTGGCGTAAAAGATGATGGTACAATGATTGGATTAACTAGCGGTGAATTGGAAGCATCAATCGGTACTTTAAAAATGATGGCCAGCGCTCTCGGTGCAACTGCTGTTGTGGTAAGTTTGCGGCAGCGCCCTTTGAGTTAGCCAGATGTGGCACAGTAAGAAAAGAAAAACACTTGAGTGTTTGAACAGAGCCGCTCTGTGTGCTGGGGGAATTGTGTGGTCATTTCGCTGTTCATCCTTTCAAAGTTGAACACCTTCTTCTACGTAATTTCACGTTTTTGAGGCTCCGTTTATCGTTGACATTGAGTTAGACTAATCGATAGCAAGCACTGCTTTTCAGCTCAGCGAACGCGATGTGAAAGTGGAAGGCAGCGACTGTTTGCGTCGTGTTGCGGAAGTGTTGGTTCGTAAGGTACCAGACAGTCAGCAGTTTATGGAACTGAGGTGAGTGAGGACCTTATAGGCTGTGATACTTATGAAGCATTTGGCTTTCGGCCTATTCACTTTCACCTAGTTGTCGTTTAGAGTCGCGATTTTGGGAGGTGCTGATGTCGGGAAATCGACGTTATGTGGCGTGCTAACGCAGGGCCATCTTGATAATGGTCAGGGAAAGGTTTGCCTCCTATCATAAGTAGTTTTTGCAGTCACACTTCAAAAGATCCCTTTTCGAGTAGTGCTTTGCTAACTTTTATTATGGTTCGCTGCCTGAAACATTAACGAATTCTGGTTTTGACTTACATCCTTTCCCAGTACAAGTTAGTATGATTTTGCACCATATAATTGCTCGATTACAATGGCAGTACCGATAACTGTAATAATAGAGATGATAACCAGACATCAGTAGCTGAAAAAAAAAAGCAACTGGACGATGTAAACAAGTGTTTCAGGCACGCTTGAGTCTCTTCCGCTATTTGCATGAGTTTCAAACGGGCAAAACGAGCTCAATTTGTCTGGATATAATTGGTTTTGATGCTCATGGGAAGGCAGGTTTCATTGTTGTAATTCATTGCTGTTTCATTTCTTTACATTTTTATGCGTTTTTTGCAGCTATGCAGTACGGAAAACGCATATTGACGAGAGGTTGTCTGTGTGTGTGTGTCTGTGTGTGCGCTGCGCATTTGTACCGATTTTTCATCTCGAGACCTACAAGAGCTACAGGGCTGAAACTTTGGGGCCTTAATCTTCATGCACGTACGGGCCCACATCCCCAAAATGGGCGGCCTTTCCCGCGCGGTACCCACGTAAGAGCCCGCCAAAGTTTTTTACGGATAAGCTGATAATTCGCGAACCAGAAAAGCTAGAGAGCTGAAGTTTTAAGGGATTGTTCCCCGTCCAAGTAGATACTAACGAGGTCAAACCCATCTCCCGGGTAAGCGTTGTACCCGCGTGCGGGCCCGCCAAATTTTTTCCTGGGTAAGTTCATAACTCGGGGATCTGAGATGCTAGAAAGCTGAAATCTTAAAGGAATGTCATCCGTTCAATTAGATACTAATGAGCTCGAACCCAGCCTCCGAGTAAGCGTGGTACCCGCGTACGAGCGCGCCAAAATTTTTCCCGGGTAAGTTCATAACTTGGGGATCTGAGATGCTAGAAGACTGTAACTTTAAGAGAGTGTTCCCCGTCCACATCAGTCTCAATGAGCTCAAACCCAGCCATCGGTCTTGCGTAGTAGCTACGCACGGATTTACCAAAGTTATTCTCGAGTAAGTTCATAACTCGAGAACCTGAAAAGCTAGAAGACTGTAGTTTTAGGAGGATGTTCCCCGTCCAAGTAAGTCTCAACGAGCTCAAACCCAGACATCGGGTATGCGTGGTACCCATGTGGGGGCCGTGGAAGTTTTTTTCCAGTAAGTTGCTAAGCCAGGAAAGCTAGAAGACTGAAATTTTAAGGGTATGTTTCCTGCCAGTTCTGGCGGTCAGTCTTAATTTGTTTAGCTAGAAGCATTTGCCGAAAAAACCGGTACCGGTAGCGATAAAAACTGTGGAGAACTATGCAAAAAACGCATCTTTGCACGGGCAGCCCGTACGTTGGCCAATTATTCTTTACCGTGTTCTTTTACAGCTCATGAATTATCTGGGCCATTCGCAAGAAGAGATCGTTGAGCAGTCGACCAAGTTGATAACGTTGATTGATTTGGCCGGCGACCGAAAATATTTAAAGACTACGATTTACGGGCTTACAGGTTACCGTTCATCTTTGGCTCATTTGACTTTGTAATCATTTTTGCTCTATCTCTCCAGCTGAGGTTTTTTCCAGGATACTTACCGCATTTCGCTGCATTAGTCGTAAGTGCCTTGACGGGTCCAACGCCAACCACACGCGAGCATTTGGGTCTAGCTGTAGCTCTGAATATGCCAGCTTTTGTTGTTGTCACTAAAGTTGATGCGGTCAGCCAGTCGACATGTGAAAAGTGAGTGTTAGCTTTAAATTTTTATTCTGAGCAATCAGTGCTCTCTTTTTTTCTCTCTTCGCGTTTCTCGAAAATGCACAGGCGGTTGTTGCAGGGTACTGCATGACATCGAAATGCTGTTTATACGACCGGGCATGGAGCGCAAACCGAAGCTAGTCGAGAATTCGGATACAGCCGTGAAGTGAGTTCTGTCATGTTCTGCCCGCTTTACAAGAAAGCATTTCTGCA